CCCACCTCCGTCCCCTTAACGAATGAGGAGTCACTGGTCTCATCGCAGACCAACCTGTCAACAATTCGTCGACAGTTTAAGGGTGTTTTTTAACACTCCTTGGTGAAGAAAGGTGTGGGGAGAGTAACGTTTCTTAGGCAACAACAAAGGGCAATGACGCAGCCATTCTTCAAATGTGACGAATAAATCGTTACTACGTCTTGAAATTTAAGTACAGTAGTATTGGTAGATAAACTTACGTAGGATTAAATTGATATCCAGAGTTACATTGGCATGAGTAGCTTCCATAACTATTGACGCATGGGTGCTCTCCACAGCTGCCATTATTTGAGGCGCATTCATCGATGTCTTCGCACCGTGTTTTGTTGGCGTTTGTTACGAAGCCAGGATCACATGTACATTCGTAACTAAATACAACAAAGAAGAGAACCAACACGATTAAAAACGTTTCCTAAACCTTATGCTCAAAGATTTGTTTACGACAGAAAGGCAGTCGCTGTGGTGAAATACATATATCTTAGACGTTTTGGTGTGCATTATAACAGAGTATTTTGACGAGTTGTGCTAGAAAAGCAAAGCGGATAGATAACCGTAGCGCGCACAGCCGACTGGTTAAACAGGTTTTTTTTACAGTACAGAATAACCAACTGTGCAAATATCCGTGTAATATCGCAGGATATTTGTGCTCTATTCGCGCGTTATTTGTACTCTATTTTGTGCAGTTGGATAATAATAGTACACAATCATCTCCAAATTAAAGTAACAGAGGAAGTAAACGATGAATCGGCGTAGGTTTGAGTTGGAACTCTGAAATTCGATTCAAACCTGCTCGAGAGCCCACACTCCGAGGATGTAAATGAAAGGAATCGACTAAGAAAGGTCTAACTAATTGCGCTTGGTTAGCTCATGTTGTGAAGCGCCGGACGGCCGTGCGGGAGGCCGAGGTCTCGCGCCCCAGATCGGACAAACATAAGGGTCTTAAAATAACCGAGGAGAAGGTGCTGCCTCTGCTATGAAATCTGCATCTCCGTTAAAGACGATAAACCGTAGGCCCCGAAATGTAGCAACACGTCTTGTGGTCTGGATTTGTCTTTGTTCATACAGGCCTCCATTCAAACCAGCTTTGAAGCTGATCTGGACCAGCCTATCTAAATATCGCAAATTAATATATAAACTACAATACGGAAAGAAATTATTTAGTTCAGTAATCGCTGGTCACTTTCACCAATTGCAGAAACATTACCTTCCAGGTGTATTGTGACAAACAAAACAGGCTGGCGCTCCCATAGCACACTCATCAATATCCATACACTTGGAGGGATACACGAAATCCTCGATATAACCATCACGGCATGAACAAAAAAAGCTGCCAAGAGTGTTCTGACAATCATGCTCACATCCACCGTTACTTATTTCACATTCATTCACATCTGCAGTAAAAGAGAAAAATACAAGATGGAAAAAAAAAAAATAAGAAAAGAAAACCGTTGCCTTGGCGAGAATCTAATTTATCAACGAGAGAAAAGCAAATGAAGACTTGGATTGACTTCAGACGCCGGAAGAGCACTAACAGATAATAGCTGGAGATGATAATCAACGATTACTAGTGACTGGACTGTGGAAGAAATTTTCTTTCGTACATTCTAGAGAAAAACTCACTGCTCAAGTCTGAGTTGTGCTTTGAAACCATATAGGGCCTGTATCTGTTAAATAATCGAGCTTCATGGGAGAAGCTCCTCGCATTCAAACAAAAATTATAATTAAAAAAAAAACGTTTGGCAAGATCAAACAAGAGCAAATACGTTGTTAAAAGGGGGGAACGTGATCAATAGAAAAACAAAGTTAGATCCTCGAACATTCCGGATGAAGGTACTTCTTACCCACACAGGTCTTGGAATCATTCAAAAGCTTGTATCCGGGTGGGCACTGACAGTAGAAGCTTCCAGCTTGGTTGACGCAGTCATGACTACAGCCTCCGTTATTGCCATCACATTCATTAATATCTGGTAAATAAGGAAAAAACAAAAGCAAAAATAAACGATAGTATCATAGATCCAAGAGTAGATAACTCGCAGGATTCACATTTAGCTTTTTGTCACAGTGTTACTGTACAGTGTCGCTAAGGCTAACACAAGTATATTTATATTTCATCGTAGTCAACCTAGCCTTTGAATACAGCCGCCTCACATCGCATCCAGCATTGACTTGAGGCGACAGTGTTTGCGACTACAACCTCAGACACAGCAACTCTTTTTTTTACTCTTTATCCCTCTCTGGTTCAACAAGTGATCTTACACCATACACCTCTTTCTTAATAGAAGGCATAATTATCATTCCATTTATGCGCCTAAAAATAGGCCTTCTTGGCCTCACTCTTGCTTGAAAATTTTTTGGTAATTATAGATGTTGCCGACACCAGAAAGAGCATTTACATAATTGCAAAAGGCTCTCCATTTAAAAAAAGAGGTTTATACAACATTTCACGACTTTAAGACCTTCCTGCACGATTCGTTTTTTGTTTTTTTTTTATTCAACTTAGGACATTAAGATTCGCGATGTTTTTGTTTCCTTCCTATCAACGATAACGTTTGACTAAGATCGAAAGGCTCGGAAATGAGACATGTATATTAAAATCCTACCTTGGCAGATCTTCTTATCGCTGGTCTTGAATTCGAATCCGGGATAACATCTACAATGAAAGCTTCCAGCGGTGTTTATACAGTCATGATTACATCCTCCATTGCCATTAGAGCATTCATTTATGTCTGAGAAAAGAAAAGAAGATTGGAAGTGAAAATGGCTACTATGTTTTTTTTCATTAAAAGCTTGAGAGGTACAATAGAGCTTTAGCTCTTAATCTTTTGTTTTTATGTTTTTTGATTTTGGTTTTCTTTTTTATCTTTCCATCAAGCCTGGGAGGTCCGATTAATCTCTTAACCAGAGCCAGTTTCCACATGATTAAAGGCGTTTCTTGCATTTCTGTAAAGCGGATTGTCACAATGTTATTGGATTTTCCTGGTGCTTAGGTATTGTATTTTTGTGATGGTGGTTTTATATTTCTTCTTCTACTGTTGCTGATTTTTAAAAAAAAATGATGCCATAACTTTTTGTTGTATTTTCATAAATAAAAAGGGAGAGACGTTTGTTTGCTTAAGTTCATGTTTATCTTCTCCAAGATGCACATGTTTCACTTACACAAAAATTATAAAACAAAATGCTAATTGTTTCTGGAGAAATATACCATTTTGTTTTAGCAAACTTAAGGTGGGAAAGTCTTGATAACAATAATAAACAGGTTTATTACTTAATGAATAAGTTTATTTCTTACCTCTACAATTTTTCTTGTCGCGATCAAGAAAGTAACCTTTGGTGCAAGCACACGTATGACCTCCTGGGTAATTCATACATAAATGGCGGCAGCCTCCATTATTGGTCTGGCATTCGTCGATGTCTTTTGAAGGCAAGAACAATATAGTCAGTTATTAACCTGTATTTGAGAGAAACCTACATTGAAGCAATAAGCTTAATACGATATGTCAAACTCCTACTAATCTCTGATAGATTGAGAAAACCATATCATATTGCGTCGTTGTTGCTACATGTTGGTGTCGGAAGGTGAGCTAAATCATTTTCGAGAAAAGCTGTGAGGAATTCGTTAATTAAAGATGGCGGTTTTTTACTTTTGTAGATTAATTCGCAGTTGTTTGCAAATGAACTGCGACAAACATTCTCCATGTTCCTCTAACCTACACCGATGTTATATTCAGCTATCTGACAAGCTGAATAATTCGCGTTTTTTTATTGAGTCTTTCTTATGAACTCTGAGAGGACAAACATTTAGTTGACTTCACCATAAACAACATTTTACGTTTTCATCAAATATAACAAATGGATCTGATTCCGCGTTGGCGTGGGTCTGCACAGTAATAGACCACAGAAGACGTAATAATGTGATAAGAACATCAGTGAGGCTGCGCCTCGTGTGCCACTTTTATTTTCTTTCCACATTTTGACGTCATCTGCGATCTTACTGAACAGATACATGGCAACATGTAGAGTGGACATGACTTCAGTCCAAACCGTTCCTTCAAGAATAGGACATAATCTTACCAACACAGTGTTTTTGGTCTGAAAGCAGGTTAAATCCATGCCTACAACTACAGGATATACTCTTCCTTTGACCCACGTAAATCTCTTCGCACTTCTGTTCACAACCGCCGTTGTTTAGAGAACAATTCAGGGATGCTGAAATTTAATCGCATACTTTTTCAATCGATCTGAAATTTTATGCATGAGAATATCATTGAAAGTAACAGGGAGGAATTATGCCTACGTACAGTAACGGCAGAAGGACAGGACTGATCGTTATTTAATATGTCTTGTTTGTAGGTTTTGATCAGCTCTTTTTATGCTGCAATCCCTTGATGACTTTTAAGTTCATTTTCGTGTTTTTCTTTTATCACTCGTTCTGTTCTTGAAATTTAGTTCAGGTTTTACAGTATTCTAGAATTCCCTTCCCACTATGCAGTTTGTTTTTGTTGTTGTTGTTTTTTTTTTTGCTAGTGCAGGTGTTTTCTTTTGTTATTGCGATTATGTATCAGCCGTCGCAACTGGTATCAACACATCAAGCATGAAAAACAAAAAAAAAACAAAAAAGGAACACACAAACAGCAGCAAAAAAACGAAAAAACATCACGACATAAACAACACAATGCTTTACCTGATGGAGCTGTTGGTACGTTGCAGTTCTGTTCGTCTGAGTTATCCCCGCAATCGTCTGCCCCATCGCAAATCCAAAGCTTATTAACGCACACTCCATTAGCACAGGTCATCTGGAATGGTTTACATGGACACTTCTCTTCATCGGAATTATCCAAACAGTCAAACGAGCCATCACATCGCCATGCCTTTCTTATGCAACTGCCGTCGCTGCACTGAAATTGATTGGGTAAGCAAGGTGTGGCAGTAGTTATCGTAGGGACTGGGGTGGAGGGAAGTGTCTTTGCATTTGTGGTAACGGGAAGTGGTGTCCGTTGGTGGCTCTTTGACAATGCTATTAAGAGAAGAAACTTGTTTAAGTGTAACGTAATTCAGTGCTCCACACGCACCATGGTTTTGAACCTCTCAAAACTTCCTTATGCAGTAGGTGAAGAAAGCGCAAAATTTGGAAACATAGACAGGCAGATCAATAACAGGGTAGGTTTTTAAAGAAATTGTGGTGCTTTGTCGGTGGGGGCTTTAACAAGATAATTTGGTTCTATTTGTCATTAACTGAGCTGATTTTTTAAGTTGACCAACATAGAAAGCCATAAGACCTCTCGTTTCACACATTAGCACTTAACCAGGCTAATACTCGCAGACTTAGCCTAAGAGACTCTCTACGGTGGCCAATTTACATAATCAAGTCAGTTGATAGAACCAAAACAGACAAAAACAGACAGAAAGAAAAAAATACTTACAGGAAAATGGACAGACACATAGACGAACAGGCTGACTGATTGACTAACAGACTCTACTGAGCGGCTGACTCACTCTTTGACCCACTCAGACTGACTCACAGACTCATAAACTGACTGACTTGTTGACCAATTGACTGGCCGACAGACTGACTGGCTTACTGCCTTACTGACTCAATAACTCATCCACTCACCGACTGTTTGACTCATTGACCCACTGACTGACTGAGTGACTGATTGAGTGACTTATTTATTCATTAACACACTGACTGACTAACCAAGTGCATGGTATGGTCGAAATTTTTTCGATCAGCGTGATCAGTCTGAAATACGTGTTACATGTATTTAACTGTTATACTCACGTTTAGCTTGAAAATTAAGTTGAAACCCCTTGTTATTCACAGAACGATCGGAAACAAATCGAACAAGCATAACATTGGTGGTAGAAAACACGCTGAAAGGTTGCAGCTTTCCACAATACTTCCCAAGGGAACTGTTATGGATGGTCGGGCCATCGTGGACTTCAACATAATCGTAGCACGTTGCTGTTTCACAAAACAGACAAAATAGTAACTTCTCAATACAATTTTACCTGATGCAAGGAATACATTGGATAGGCTATTGGAGGGCTGGCAAATGAGCTTAAATGAGATTGTTGTGATATAATTTAATCTTCCCGAGGAAATCGACGATGGGGTTGCGATTTTAAATAGTTTGATTAACAAGGTCCGCTTTGTCTCTTCACGTATCCCAATGTGTTGCACTCCCATAGATTTGGTCAAACTTAGGTCAAACTTAAGTCAAACCTAACCCCATTCTCCCACCACAAAAAACCACATGAAAGAGGGAAACAAAAACTTTCCTCTAATATCAAGCTTGTTAGAGTGGTAGTAACAGTACTGAAAAATTACTTTAAGTATGATTGCTGAAGTGAGCTTGAATTATTACTGATCATCTTTACACTAAGACAGAATCATAGACAGCTTAGGTCTAGTTTAAGTAGGACACACTTACTAGGATTTCCTCCGGCTGGTTCAACGCTAAAATTGTTAAATTTGGCTCTGACCCTCATTCCAGTGGGAACTGTGATCTTGTAGAGGCAGTTGGCTCTTGGACTGTAATAATTGGGGTAATTCGGGGACTTGATTTTCCCCTCTCTTCCATTGTAGTTTCTTCCGCAAGCTAGAAATTTAACAATAAATTTGTGATAAACTGTGTAATTGCGAACTTTAAAAGCTACGAGATACAGACAAGGAAAACATCGAAAATCGTGTCGCCAGGCCAAATTTAAGGATTGTCATTACTTTTGGTTTATTTTCAATCAGTAATTCCAAAATCTGGGGCAAACCTTTTATGGGAACGCTCGCTGTGGGAGATAGATCCGTTTTTTTACATTACTCATCCAAACACGTTCCTATTAAGACCGTAGTTCCATTTTTTCAAATTGGTTCCCTAATTCAACACAGCTCAAATTGACCTCTCAGCAAGCTCCACGACTAGACTCAACTGGCGCCGTCAAGCATACAAGGCATGAATTTGATGGAAAAATCAAAAGCAAGCCATTAAAAACACTGGGTACTGTGCATGTTGTATATGTGCATTTGAGTAACACGGCAATCCTAATTTTTACTGTCTTCAAAACAGAAAATGCCTCAGTGCTAAGTGGAGTCGCTCAACTCCTTTAACTGATGCATGGAGAGTATCTGCACTCGCGGTCTCCTTCTTAGGCACTTTTCCTTTGAGAGGCAAATGGCGAGAAAAGTTTCATCCCAATTTCATCGCCCTCGGCTGTAAAAACGACAGCCCGACGACATTCAAACCGTGCGCGGAACAGAGTACAATTCAACAAGACATCTTAACCCTTTACACCCTAACATCAGTATGCATATTCTCCACACTGTTCTCTATACATTTCCTAAGGTGCTGACAAGGAGAATTTGTTTAACAATCAAGAGCTTCTTTAGTTAGCGATAATTTCTTTTATTCTCATGACCTTAATGTGTGGTTCTGGATGATACTATAGGCAGAAATTTCATGCTAGTCACTCTTCAGGGTCAAAGGGTTGAACAATAATTTTACTCATTCGCGACGTCAAAAACTTATTTTGTCACGAAGAAGATCTACTCAATATTAGTTAGGCAAGGTAAAAACTACAACAACAACAAAAAGGACAATAACAAGGATGACTGAGGATGGGAGGATCGAAACGGATTGACCGAAGATTTCAAAACGATGAACTATGCCGTAGCTTCGTAAATATAACATTTCGTGCTACTTTGGGGCTTTCGTCTTTTTCTCTTTAGGTGTTTTCTTGAAAGTTCCATGCGTGATTAGCAATTCTAATAATTTCACGTCGAAAGCTTCCTCTGTTCTCCGTTCTTAACGACTCATGAGCGGTCTAGGCAATGTTTCTACAATATCGTTCGTTACAGAAGGGTAGCAATTTTTCTTGGCACAGAGTTTTGCGTATCGATATTACTGTCGCACGGCATACTGGTATGACATCATTCAAAAAATATCTTTATCAGGGTTCCCCATCTGTGCTCTATCTCTCAGATGCTGCCTAATAAGTGTTGACGGTCTTGGATCGTATCGCGGCGTTACATTCAATTTAACTGTTACAACATGAAATGATTGTCTTCCTTCCTTCGTCAGAAATTTCTTGCAATCACCGAGCACGTCCGTGCTGATGCGTTCGTATTGCTTGATTTCCCAAGGGAAATTACGCGAACAAATAGGAATGACCAACAATTACGCAAACAAACCGGAATTCGCCACCGACTTCCTCTTTTGATTATGCCGTGGATTATTGATATGCGCCTTTAGTAGTTTTGGAGGTGAAGCACAAACCTAAAGTAGTAGCACCATGCAATGTATTATGAAAAAAATGGATAGGCGAAATTCCCGCATCAATGAAATATTCCCTCCATAGGCAGAATTTCGAATGAGATATTTCCGTTTGGTCTTCAACGCTTCCTGTGGAGTTTACACGCAATGTTTGAATTTTTGATAAAGTTCAACACACCAATTTTTTTTTTAATCCGTCGGTCTGAAGAGAAAATCGACGGTTTTTATCATTGCTACTGATAAGTGAAGAAGGTTCTATTCAAAGATAAACAGAATGACTTTTGTTCAGATTTGAACATGATCCAAGCAGTCATAACTTACGCTACTGTCGGATACCACTTACACGGACGAGAGCTTTGCCCTTGTCTTCCCAAACAGAACACCACGATTGATAAATGAAGCCTGTGAGATCGAATAGAAGAATAAAAACAATTTTAGACTCGTAACTCAGTCCAACTACGAAGAATAACCATTTACACCGTGAAGTTTTGGCAGATGTTGTGTAATGGTTTTCATTACACGTATCATAGGGTTAGAGAACGTGTCACGTAACTTACAGGAAAAATGCCTTACCAAAAACTGAAAACGTAAATCCCTTGATTACCTCTCATATCTGGGTCTTTTTGGAGACAAAAGGTTATAGAAGAACGCGGGAAAAGGTTTAGGGAAAAACGATCATCAAACTCGAAATATCGAGACTCTAATACGCTTTTGGAGAATGGTGTCAGATTCCTTGGCGCACTGTCAAATGATATTTGAAACAAAACAGTCTTAATCAATAAACTCCCCCAGGATTTCCAATCATGTAAAAATAACTTGTGATATCCCAATTACCGCATGGTTTAGTTTTTTAATCTATATAAAAGATCTTTCGTATCGATATGTGAGACGTGACAGTAAATCTTGTGATTAAAATTGAAAAGATGCAGCGAAATCAGCGCAATGCCAAACAACAATCACGGCAAGAATAAGGACAGATCATATGGATCTGTTCCAAAAGTAACTGAAGCTGGGTATTGAGGTATTAGCTTACATCGCCTTTAATCACTGCGTCAAAAATAACAACGCGCCGAGCACTTAACTCGTTGGATCAGATCTATCTTGTGTGCGGTTTGAAGGGAGAAACATGGGTGCTTCGCCATATTGTTTGTAAGTCATTAGTGAAAATCTTTTTACACAAACGTTAACTGATTCGTTAGTAGCTGTTGACTCGTTTAGGTAATCTTTTGTTTGTGTTACTCGCAGGTTTTTCTTGAATTTGATTTTGGTTTCTGCAGCGTTTCGTCTCCCTTCCAGCCTGGCAGATATTTTCCTTCCCCTTCGTAAGAGATCTCTAGGTAAGTCTGAGTTTGCGAATTACTGAGATATCGCACATTTATTTCTTACTCGGAGTGATTGGAGCAGTGAAGTGAAAGGGAAATATTTGAAATTAGTTCCAGTTCCTATTCATTGGGTTTAGAGAAACAAGAACTAAAATGGAAATAAATCTTAGTCATGGCAAATGGGTTAAAGCTCATTTTCCTTCCATCCTTGTTCGTCATATATCTAAGCTAAACGGCGAATGATTTTAATGTTCAGTTGTACTCATTGCGGAATTTGCATTAGTGCAACGGGATTTTCGATTCCATGGCGGAAATGCTGAAAGGTGTCACGTCAAAAACCACTTCGGCAGAGTTCCCTTCAAACTCAAAGGGAAGACTGTCCGCAAGCAGCACACGTCTTCTACCTCCTAAGGCCACAAGACCTAAGGAAAGCCTAACTCGGTTTTCCAACGTTATGCAGATGATACTGAATTGTTCAGAAAACAAACTACCCCCTTCACCGCGTGGTGAGTGATTCGTGACGCGAAAGCGTCGTCCAGCTCTTGAACTGCACCAAGGATGCGTCACTATTTTATAAATTCGCCCATCAGTTCGCATCTTTTAGGTAGTTCATTTCGCCCTTTCAAGAATTGGAAAAGCAAGGTGATTGTTTACCAAATTTTTGTCTGAGTCTTAAGTCGCTGTAAGACCGAGCAACAAGTTTGAATGACATCCTCTCCCCCCTCCCCAAAGGGACACCTTTGTATTCTAATTCCTGATAAATTAGATAAATTATGTTGCTTTACGAACAGTATTGCCCAGGTTGTTTTATTAAGACTAAAATGCTCTTCCATTTCCTTTTTTTTTTTTTTTTTTTTTTTTTT